CCTCATAAAGATCATTGGGATTTTTACATATTTGAAAAAGAGATTTCACGTTGGCTGCTTTAAATGATCCCTTTTTTTCCTCTCCGTCTTCGTGCTTTATATTAATGTTTTATTCAACTATATTTTGTTCAATGATTTATTGCAGGAGAGATTTTAACGTGTTTGTGCTCTTGTAATATACATGTTCTTATTGTCTTTGCTGGATAGTAGGGCTTGATAACAGCCTGGACAAGGTAGGAGAGAAGGTCATCAAGATAGACTTTTTTTTTAATATTATAGCATTCTTGGGCAGAGTCCTTTTAACGTCCTCTCTCCTCCACTGACAGGGCTGTCAGCCTGTGGGACATCCTGTGAGATGGTATCAACATATCCTGTAATTTCAGTCAAGATTCCAGAGCAGAGCTGCATACAATATTTAAGGAGATGAAGCCCTGTTTGTTGACAGGGAATCTGTTGTTGGTTTTTTTTTTTTTTTTTTTCTAGTGCCTTCTAGAAAAATAATGGAGAGGAAAGTGACAAACTGTCCTAATTTATAACCTATTTTAGTGTAAAATCACAAAGCAACAAACCTAGCAATGACCTTCACCAAACCAGCACCGGCTTTTCTTTCCCACCCTGTCTCGATGATGTAACTTTGTGGTTTTCAAGGTTTATCTTCCTCTTTTGTCTGATTTGTGTGTGTGATGATCTTGAGCTGTAATAGCTTTGGCTAGGGTGTTTCTGGGATTCCCATCTCTCCGGCTGAGGGCACGAATGCATCTCCCTCTCTTCCTAGCGGAGAATAAAACGAAAAGCCCCTTTTGTTAATATTTATCATCATTATTATTCTGAACTTCGGGCAGCTCATGAAAGGGAGTCTTTAACTCCCTGCGCTTTGCAGTCTGTTGGAATGTAATATTCGTCCTGCACCTGCTACGCTTTGGAAATGCAGTATCTTTGGCTACCAGTGAAAATGAAAACCAGTAAAAATTACTAATGCAAGGGGCCACATTGTCAACAGTAAGCCTGTGTCACTTCATCAGCTTCAGCCACCGATTTGTGCTGGTTGAGAAGCTGGCCATTATAACTGGAGCCTTAATTCCTTAAAATATTTAAAATACATAGGACTTAATTTCCTTCCAGATTCCCAATCTTTTTCTTAAAACATGAAAAAAACCTACTGCGGTGGTTTTCTCCTTCCCTTCCGATCTCATCACAGCGCGCCTGATTCTCCAGCACCTTGCACCTTGTGTTGTCACTTAACCTGTGCCGAGCGAGTGTGAGCACGTAACTGTTCTGATGTGATGGGCCTTTACACCCTCCGTGCATGGGTAGAAATGACTGGGGAGAGGATCTCTTGCCATGGGTGAAGGAAAATGACAAACTAGCAGAATGATTCTAGTTTTTCCAGTGGAACGTTTCCTTGTCTAGAAACATACACGAAGACAGCTTTTGCTTGTGTGTTTAGTGTTTTACTCTGCTCTTAGTGAAGAGAATGGCCTGTATAGGCAGATGGGCCTTGAATTAAATGTTAAACTTTAAAGAGAAGAGTTTTAAAGTAGCTCTGCTCCATTAAGACTTACATTTCAGAAGTCAAGCCCAAGACCCATAACTGAGCACCAAAATAGAAAGATCATTATAATGGCCTGATTTGTAGAAGAATAAGAGGGGAGAAGAGTGGCAGTGAAATAGCTCAAAAATCTGAATGTATCATTATTTTGCTGGTGGATGAATGTTTGAGCAACTGTTTTAAACTAATGTTCTTTTCATTTTCTATTTATTGTGCGGTTTTTGTAGCTGATGACCTAATGGCTTTTTCCCGACCTGAAGAATACCATGCCAGCTTCCTTAAAAGTGATTTTATTTGCGCAGATCTTTGATATTTTCTTGGGAGTTACTGGACAAACAATCTCCATGACTGTAAAACAGCTAATATTTTTTTTAAATGCCGTCCTAGCCATGACAGCGAGGCTATTCCAAAGTTGACACTCACTAAATGTATAAGCGTTTATAAGGTTGGTGAGGGGAAGGATCCAGGAAGGCTCTGCCTGTTTTGCTCTCCGTTAAATTAAGGTTGAACAGTCCAGTGGTTCTCAAACTTTTTGTGTTGGCAACCCCTTTCACACAGCAAGCCTCTGAGTGAGACCCCCCCCCCCTTATAAATTACAAATGGGGGGGTTAATTTTAATTTAACGGGGGATCGGGGCTGACAGACCCTGTGCATACCAGGCTCGTGTCCCCCAAGTAACGCACTTGCGACCCCCTGAAGGGTCACGACCCCCAGTTTGAGAATCCCTAACTGTACCATGAATGTACTCCTATATGTCATACTCTCAAACTGTGTCTTTATAAATGGCCATCCAGGAATTGCAAACAATTCGGATAGGCCGTCATGCACTTTAGTTAGTATTGGATGAAGATACTTGGGCAAAGGTTTCTGAAAGGCACTAGTGATTTTGGGTGCCTCAGGTTTTTGGGTGCTCAACTCAAGATGCCTTCAAGGAGCGTGATTTTTAGAAAGCGCTGAGCACCCACCCCTAGGGAAATCAGGTCCCTTCTGGGTGTATGAAATTGGGGACCAAAAATCGCTGGACATTTGTGGAAAACTTTGGCCTCGATGTTTTGTATTGCAAAGGCAAAAACTTCAGCATGCCCTCAGCTCTGCCTTCCCTGAGCACAGGTTGGTGGAGGAAATGAATGTGTTTTTCCACTAAAGAAAGAGGGGATTGTATAATTTAGGTAACCTAGGAAGGTAGGTAAATCTCCCCTAATTGTATACAGACCGTAGAGCTTGTCTCAACCTTTTGACTAGTGAAGCTTTCCTCAATTTGGGATATTGTGTGATCCTAATCAGAGACCTTTAACCATACATCAAAGCAGACTCTCCTAATCTGCATACCTTCAGGCTGGCATGGCTTGATTGCATGGTTTCCTGCTAACAGACTCATCTCTGGCCAGGTGTCTTTCCTGCTGTGGACGACTGATTCCTTTTTAGTCTTCATCGCTGAGGCAAAGAAATTTAATCCTAATATTACTGCCAGCCATGGAATGGACCCGCTGATTTGGAAATGTCACTCCGTTGTGGCCGTGAAATATCAATGCACAGCAACCTCTGAGACCTGCTTATTTCACTGCCAACCTCTAACCTAAGGTAGAGCAGACCTGTCATTAGTGTATCCATCTGCATTTAAGCCTGTCCGCTTCCTTCCCCTTCTCTTCTTTTGTTTCCCTAATTACTTTGATTGCATCAGCATACCCAGCCTGGATCCTCTGTTTGGTTCCTAAGGCAGCATGACTTGTCTGCTCGGTCTGCTTTAATATGGATCTTATGGTAAGAGGCAGAGGTGGGCCTCAGCCGCGGGGCGAGGAGGGGAGAGAGAGTTGGCTCTGGGTCTTGAACTCCAAAGTCGGAGTGCGTTCGGCTTTGGAGGTAGCTCTTCAGCTCCTTGCAGAGAGAGGCCCTAACTGCTGCATGGATGCTCTGCTCTTCCTCCTGTCCTTTCCACCCCGGCAGCTGGGCTTGTTGGGGGCAGAGGGTTGCGGCAGCCAGTCTTCAGAGCCATTCAGCAGCTTGTGAGTGGGAAGCTGTCGCAGCTTATCCCAGGGTTTGTCTGTGGCTCATGCCAGCTGACTTGGGTTCATGGGGCTTGGGCTACGAGGCTGTTTACGTGCGGTGTAGACATTCGTTCTTGGGCTGCATGCTGAGCTCTGGGACCCTCCCGTCTTGCAGGGCCAGCCGTGGGTTTTTAGACATACCCACAGAGGTGCCCGGGCTGCTCCTTGGGCTAAGCACTGGGTCCCTTGGCCCCGGATCCTGTGTTCTAAATAGTTGCTGTCATTACTCTGGTTGGTATTTGTATTGCAGTAGTGTTGGGGCTCCAAGCGGGGATCTGAGGCCCATTGTGCTTGGCACACAATGAAACGGGGGACTCTGCCTTAAAGGGCTTACCGTCTGTCTAAGCAAGGCACCAGATAGATCATAGATCGGGGGAGGGATAGCTCAGTGGTTTGAGCATTGGCCTGCTAAACCCAGGGTTGTGAGTTCAATCCTTGAGGGGGCCACTTAGGGATCTGGGGCAAAAATCAGTACTTGGTCCTGCTAGTGAAGGCAGGGGGCTGGACTCGATGACCTTTCAGGGTCCCTTCCAGTTCTATGAGATAAGTATAACTCCATATATTTTTATAATAAATAATAGCATTTTGCTTTTCCTGTCTTATATTCCATCCTCCTCAGCCTAGGTGCTGGGGGTGTGGCTGAACCCCATGGCTTGAAGTGGATTCCGTTATATACAGGGTTTACAGGTTGAGTCATGACTCTCACACCCCCACTGTAAAAATTGTCGACCTCGGAGACCAGTGCACATATTTCCCTTGGTAGCTGTTGATAAGAGAGTGTTATCAGACATCAGATACACTTGGAAATGTACCCCCAACTTTTCCGTGGTATAGGTGCTGTGAGTGTGACACCTGCATTGGCTGGCTTACCCTTTGTTTGTGTGTATTACCTTATCACCTCCGGTCCCTTCATGGACCTGTAAGGTGCTGTACATCCTCAGCTCCACAGGAGGATCAAATGCAGGGAGAGTCCCTCAGTTTGATCTCAAATAATAAGTGTTTCGGTTCCCTTGACAAATGGCATGCTTTTATCTATCCATCCAGGCATGTATCACCGTGATATCTTCTGCCACCTTATCTGTCACATTTTAAATGATGTGTCACATTCCAGTGAGATTTATACGTCAAATTATTTTAAACAAACAGAAAATGGAAAGTGTCCGTTGCCTAGAAACTATTTTTCTGAGTACTCTGGCAATTGCCATGTTCTCTAAAGTATAATAAATGAAAGCTTGGGCGCAGAAGTAGGGTGGCTTTTAAAAGAAGTTATTCATTGAAATCTGTGTTGTTTCCCACTGTTCATGTGTGGTTCTCTCTCTGTGGCTTGACTGTAGCATGACATATTGAGGTATTATCTTGAAGTGTAAAAGAAAAGAAACATTTGTTTTTGTTTTTTTTTCTTACAGGGGTTGATTAAAATCCGAGGTGATCGCTGCTGGAGAGAGTTGACCTGTATGGATTATCATTATGAGGTGAGCATTCTGAACACCACTAGTTGCCTGTCCGCTTTACCTTGTTAGTAATTCTCCCTTTTTCCCGACATCTTTTCTCTCTTTCTCCAGCTGAGTTGCAATTGTTCCCCCACTCCCACCCCACCCCAACCCATCCCCACTGTTGTAATCTGAGGCACTCCTGATAACTTCATCAATAACAATGAGCCATACAACTTTTTTCCATCCAATAAACCCATGAGACCACTTCCTCTTAGCCCTCTCTCACTGGTATGAATCAGGACTAACATCACGGGACCCAGCCAAATTACTCCCTGTGTGAAAATGGTGCAAGAAGAGATGTTGGCCCTTAATATCCAATCAAGTCCTCTCTTTCAATTTCTGACTTTTACAAGTTTTTGTTTGTTTTCGTCAGAACTTGCTTTAAAGATATAAACACAATTTTATCTTCATGTGACACAGTGAAGGTTTTGACAAGCCTTTATAATGAGTGAACAAAGGTTTATTATACCTGGAAGGACCAATCAATGAGCCTAGGATTTGGGGAGAGCCAGCGGCAATGCTATCATATAGTTGACACCGATGCACCAAAGCAGTGCTAGATGAATGGGATTTGAAACTTGGTAGTCCACATCAGGTAGATAGAAGGCCTGCTAGTTTGCTCGACTTTTAGCATTCCAAGGTGTCGCTCTTATCACGTTCATCCAGGGCTAAGGCTTTCAAAAATGACTAGTGATTGTTGATATCTCAGTGTTTGGGTGTTCAGGTTGAGACACCTTTAACGGTGTGATTTTCAGAAGGTGGGTGCTTTCTGTTTACTCTTCCAAAATACAGATGTATTTGAGCAGAAATGTGGCGTAGAAACAAAGTGCGATCAAAGACGTTGAGCATGAATCATTAAGTTCTCACTCTGTGTACTTTTCTCTTGCCTTTTGAAATCCATTTCAGTGATTTGTTTTCACGTTGGTAATAAATAGCTGTTTGTATTCTGGCTCCGGGCATTATCACCCGTTAGATTGCAGAGAGATGTAGCAGCACCATCCTGCATTCTTGTGGTCATGATTTGGCCTTTGCATTTGATATGGGCCTGGGATTACAAAAGGAGATACCTGTGACGGTAAACTGGTCAAATAACCTTGGTCCCTTGGCTGCATAATCAAGGAAACTGCTGGGGCAGCATTCTTTTCTTCTTTGTATGTAATAAACCTGATGGTTTATTGTTAAATATGTATTAGAGCTATTGTTTATAATACATTTTTCTACCTGCTTAGCAGTGGAGCACATTGCACCTGTTTGCTCAACTTTGCAATGGCTCCTGTTTGATTTCCTGGTGCAGTTTCTAATGTTGGCTTTGCCCCAGGTCGTCCCAAGGTAGGATTGAGCTGAGGTAGGATACGGAGTCTGACAATCCCTACGTCTGGGGACACATTTTCAGTGGACCATCATCTCTGGAAATCATCTGCTCTTCCACTGAAGGTCTGGTAGAACCTGAGTTTTCTGCGGAACCAAGCTCTTCCGCATCCACCTTTATCCCTAGCTTCCACCATTGATATCTCCCAGCAGGTGAGATCAGTAGACAAACCATGTCCCGCCCACTCCCTTGACCAAATTATTTCATGCATACCTGCCAGCTGCTACCCTTTACAGCACCATAGTTACCAATAACCTGACTGCAGTGAAGTGGGAGTAAGAGAGGGAGAAAGCTGCTTACAGAATTGTAATACAGAATCTGTCTAAGCAGTGGGAGGAAAAGAGGAGGAGAAACAGGCTGTAGCTGAAGATGTCTCTGGAAGGGAGGAAATTATTCGGGAGGCTGCTTGTAATTAGAATGATAAAACTGGGTAATGGACCAACTTTCAAATGGACGCGGGCCAAATTTAGTCTGCAGTGATGTATGTTGGCCACCCCAGCTCTCATATTCCAATCCTATACTCCAGTCCAACATCTACATGTGCTCACTTGCCAAGAGAATTAATGAAAACACATGGCCCCCATCTCTTGCATATTGAGCATACACTGTACTATTTATTTGTAGTAGAACCAGCAGCTACGTTCGTGGAAAATAACATTTCCACTTTTGTCGGAAATCATGTATAAAATAACATGTTGTTATGGCTTCGGTAATTAAACAGAGAGCATATTTTTTGCCCCTCTTTGCCCCCCTTGGGCCTTAACCCAAGACTTTATGGAGATCTGTTCCTCAAGTTAAGGCTCTTTGTTTGGAAGGCTTATGACCCTTACATTTGTGTAATTTAGAGAGGGAAATGTCACAATGCATAGTTTATACAGACATGGTATTTTCCAGTCTTCACTTGTTGCTGCATCATCTCATGAGGCGGTACGGTAGGAGTAGATCTATTCAAATAGGTGTAGAAGATGATGTAAAAAGATACTAGCAAAGATGAGCAATTTAGACTTGCACTTGATTTCTCTTGCTGCTGTAATATAGGTGCCAGGAATCCTAAATTCTAATTCCAGCTCCTCCAGGGAGTTACTGTGTCACCTGGAGCAAGTTGTTTAACCACTCTTTGCCTTGGTTTCTCCATTTGTAGAAGGATAGGTAATTTGTGTTCTGAAGGTGGAGCTGTGATTAGATATGACAAAGGGGAATTATGGTGGTTAATTCGTTAAAGGCTTATACAGAGCTTTGAAAAGGCCAGAGAACCAAAGCCAGGCACATACATTTGCACAATCGGGCATGCACAAAGTCAGTGTGTACAAGCTGCTAGTCAGGGGAACCTGCACATCAGGTATTAGCACACATAAGTTAACCTGTGAAAACATATGCACATAATTGCGTTAGCAGACCTCGCTTCGAAAGTCTGCTTCTGCTTTATTATTATTCATGCTTGTAGCAGTTCTAGCACTGACTGCTGTGGTTAGATTAATTTTGCATTGAGGGTTTTTTTTTTTTTTTTTAAGAAATCCTTTTGCTACTTTTTAAATTGGCCTATTTTTGAATTGCATTCAGTTAAACATATTTACTGTGCACTTAACATGGATGGAGATGGCTTGTGAGTTTATTACTGTTTGTTTTTATTTTTTATTAACCACTTATCTACTGTGTAGTGTGACAAAGTTCCTCCTCTATCTTGGTGGGTCCTGCGCTTATTGGCGGATTTTCTTGCCTCAGAGATTCACCATGTGGGTTGGGGAACAGCCCAGAGACCTTCCCCTCTGGAAGAACCCACAGTCCAGGTCAATTGGGAGGTTTGGGGGGAACCCGGGCCCGCCCTCTACTCCGGGTTCCAGCCCAGGGCCCTGTGGACTGCAGCTGTCTATAGTGCCTCCTGTAACAGCTGCATGACAGCTACAACTCCCTGGGCTACTTCCCCATGGCCTCCTCCAAACACCTTCCTTATTCTCACCACAGGACCTTCCTCCTGGTGTCTGATAACGCTTGTGCTCCTCGGTCCTCCAGCAGCACACCCTCTCACTCTCAGCTCCTCACACTCCCACCACAAACTGAAGTGAGCTCCTTTTAAAACCCAGGTGCCCTGATTAGCCTGCCTTAATTGATTCTAGCAGCTTCTTCTTAATTGGCTCCAGGTGTCCTAATTAGCCTGCCTGCCTTAACTAGTTCTAGCCGGTTCCTGATTACTCTAGTGCAGCCCCTGCTCTGGTCACTCAGGGAACAGAAAACTACTCATCCAGTGACCAGTATATTTGCCCTCTACCAGACTCCTGTACCCCACTGGTCTGGGTCTGTCACAGTACACAAGGGTAGACAAAAGAGAGCTAGATTCTGCTCCCACTGGAGTCCATGGCATCACTCCCCATCAATCCAGCTGACGCAGAAGCACACCCAAGGAATTAGGCCGGGGGGCAGATTCTCCACCCTGCTGTGGTCCCTTTGTACTGCTTAGGAGCAGTGACTGGCCACATCCTCCCAGCTGGCGCGGGGGAGTCCCTAGTGAGTATGGAGCCAACATAACTGGCTCCTGTGCCACACTCCCTGGAGCCTCTGGGGAAGGGCGGGGGAGGAGGGGCAGGAGCATTGCTGGTGTGTGCTCAGCTTGGGTCTATTCCGGGAGCACACCCAGCTTGGGGGGGACTGTTGCCAGCTGGCACAGGTCAGAGCAGCCTTCTAGCCTGCTCTAACATGCGCTGGGATAGAGGGTCAGGCAGAGAATCAGGGAGCCATAACCATCTCCCCCAGTGGTCCCTTCCCATCCCCTGTTTTGCCAAATTTACATCAGCAAAGCAGAGGATCTGGCCCATTGTCTGCGGCTTCTGTGTATGCAGCTCGGCCGTCATAAGAACAGGGCCTTTCCGTGCACTGTCAGGGTAAATCCATGCACAGCGCCCATATTTGAAATCTCCAGTCAAAGATGCAGATGTCTGAACCGCGCGCTCGTTTTGTGGAACACCTTGTAGCCATATGTCCTGGCACGTGAAAGGTTTGAGTGGCATGGGGGGATTTGCATATGTAAACTCACATCTAGTCCAAACAGAGCCTGTGTTTTTGGTTTCCAGCATTAGTCTCAGTGGAATAAGATAATGAGGTAATCTTAGAAGGGGGAAAGTCCTATTTGATTACACTTATCCTGTCTCTTGCGGGCCAGTGGAAGATGGTTCCCTTTGGTCTGTGTTCCAGTGATGTGTTTTGTGGTGATTGTCAGTGCCTTGTTGTTTTTTTATTACACTGTCACTTACTACAATTGACATGGAAAGATGCCTTGCAAAATTGCCTTCTTTAAAAATGATTGTCTTTATTAAGTGTGACCATCCTCCCCCGACTGACTCGTAACTGTCATTTCAAGTCTGCAAAGTCACACAAAGGATACTTGGCGTTTGACTTACCGAAATGAGCGGATCGTGTCTGATGCACTGCTCCATCTACGCTGTATTTTCATGACTGGTTAACCCACCTTGTGTCCCACAAATACCACAGAGGCAGCAATTCCTCAGTTGGAAAGAGACGGGGAAATGAAGGAGAAATCGCTGTCTCTGTCAGAACAAGAAAGAAACATGATCCATAACTTTCCACAGCCCTAAAAGTACCATGTGTGTAAGCAATG